TATAATCCTACGCATTTTATTGAGGAGGTTCGAGTCTCAGGTAGGAGGCAGGGGGGCCCCCACTGGGCCTGGGCATCAGGCATCTCAAAGTCACAGAGCCACAGAGCCAAGAAAGTTTGTTAAACTGCTCACAGGGGCTGAGTAAGAAGCTGCCCTATGTCAGAGGGCGGCTGCATAGCGCAGCACTCATGTGTGTCAAACCTCAGGAACCTTTTCAAATATCTGCTCAATGTCATCCTCGTAGTAACCCTATGAGATAAGAATTCTTATCCCCACTGCCCAGATGAGGAAAGTGAGGCACAAACATAGAAACTGGCTGACCCGAGGCCACACGGCAGGTAAGGGTAAAACCAGGATTGGAGTGCAGGGCGGGCTGGTGTCAAGCCTGCTCTTACCCACCACACAGATGTCTTGGCTGTCAGCCTTGACAGGTGGGCAGGACATCTGCTTGGTACAGGCTGGCAAAGGGGGTCGTAGAGAAAGTGCTGATTTAAAAAATTGTGATTAAGTATTCTCTGGACTGTGTTGAGTTGGTGGTAAAATCAGGGTATACAAGGGGAACTATTGTCCATAGGGGCCTGCAACCAGGATCTTGGCTGCTTATTATGATTCTGTGTCTGACTTTGGAGGAATAGGCGATGTAGGATCAGTGCAAGCTGCTTCGGATGCTTGCTAGCGCCCTCCTTCCTTCACTTTCTGTTAGAAAGCGATTGTTCTAAACTTCCTTTTCTTCTAGATTTATAACATCCTCTAATGTACTATTATACAGTTTAGGACAAAACAGATTATATCAAAACTCATATTAATAAAATAATAGAAAATGCAAGATATTTACTGGAATACATTTCAGACAATGAAGAGTTTACTTGGGATAGATTTTGTGGTATTTTTTTGTACAACATTTGCTTTGAGGGAGGAAATGCAATTGTCACTTTCAATAATATTTAACTCAAATGTGGCTCTACATCTTTGCTTACCATGATCAGATCGATCCAAATGGAGAGTGTGAGTTAACTCATCTTCTTGACATAGCACAGTACAAAAGGGGAAAAGGACCTAATTATCATTGCATGCACTTTGGAAAGCAAAGGGTCTCCTTAAATTGGAAGTTGAACTAAGCAGTTTTGTTACCCTTCACTTTCTGTTATTTATTCAGTATCAGGAACAGTGGCTATTCTGTCTGTTTGGACTAGGGTTGCAAAGGCACTCCTGGGACCTTCTTGGGGTCATGCCCTCCCTCCTAGGTTACTGTTTTTACTATTTACTCTCTATTTAACTGTATCTCTGAAGTTATGTAATTCCATAATTTTAGGGATATGTTTAATGAAACATTCTGCATCAAAAGGGATTTATTATGGTATATTAATCAGGGTCTAATCAGGAAAGAGGAATGATGCAGTATTTTGAACAGAGACATTTTAACATAAATAATTATTAATGATCACAAAGAATACCAGGGGCTGGTTAATAAGAACTAAAGATATAGGAATAAAAGATTAAGGAGCAACCACTATCCCTAGAGCTAAGGTAAGCTTCCCGAGGCACAGGTTCCCCCAGCACTAAGATCCTGACCTTATAGGAGAGCGCATAGCTGTGGTCAGGATGGTAAAGAAGCCGCTGTGATGTGGGGTGGTATGGCGTTGCCAGAAATGTCTTTCTGGAGGCACTCTGTTACAAAACCATCCCGAGTGTCCCCGAGGAAGCTGCTGTCTGCTAGGTGCTGCTGCCTGCCATGCCCTGCAGGAGGCAGGTGCTGGGGAGCCCCCCGATGCTGCTGCAGTAAAGCACAGAACTGAGAAGAAACAGTCCTTTCTTCCGCAGGTCTTTCCAGCACCTTTTATCCACACAGGTTAACACTGCAACAGCTGTTAAAAACTATTTAAAGAGACCATATTTATTTCCAGAGCAGGCAATGAGGGGTAGATTTAGAACTAAAAAACAATTAAATAATAAAAGCCTAATATGCAAATAGACCGAATGGCGGAACAACCAGTGGAACAATTGGTTGCTATGATGCACAGTGACCACCAGGGGTTAGATGCTCAATGCAGGAACTGCCCCCAGCCCACAGGCCCCAGGACAGCCAAGGCAGGTGCCAGTGGGGGCCACCCTGATCATGCCACCAGACGCCCCACAGAGGGAGGTGATTGGTGGTGGCAGCAGGGTGATTGGGGGACGGGGCCAGCCGGTGAGTGGGCTGGCAATGCCCCCCCTCCACAATCGCCCCACTGGTCGCCTCCCACAGAGGGAGGCAACTGGCAGCAGCTGGCAAGCAGGTGGTGCCAGGCCAGCCAAGGCAGGTGCCAGTGGGAGCCCCACTGATCGCCCTGCCGGTTGCCCCACAGATCAGCCCTGATTGCCGGCCAGGCCTAGGGACCCTACCCGTGCATGAATGTCGTGCACCAGGCCTCTAGCCTATAATAACAAAAGTGTAATATGCAAATTGCCCGAATGGCTGAACAGCAGAACGACCTTCCGGACGAAGCTGGGGCTGCGAGGGCTGAGGCAGCCGTGGCTGTGAAGGCCTACCCTTGCACAAATTTCATGCATCAGGCCTCTAGTAAATTAATAACTGGCACACGTGGGAATCCCTACCTATTCCCTGTCAGGGTTTGACCAAGGGCTTTCAAGCTGTTGGCCTGAAATTATTAGAAAATCAACTTATTTTTAATATGTAACTTATATATTTGATAACTTTTAAATAAATTGACTCACACTAAGCACTCCTTAAGTCACATTTGTGTCACAACCAGTACTTTGAAACAAAATAATTTAATTATTTTTCTAGTATTTTATAATAAAACAAGATGGAAACTATTGTTCACAAAGCCATGTGTCCAATATTGTGTTAGAATAAATATTAGTTTGTAGTGAAAATAGCTTTTGACTTACTTTAAATATAGCAAATCAGTTTTTAAATGCTTTCGAACTACAATTAGATTTTTTTTAATGCTCACATGAAGATATGTTTTTATTGATTTTTTAGAGAGAGTGAGAAAAACATTGATCAGCTGCCTCTGTATGCACCCCAATGGGGCTCAAACCCATAACCTAGGTACATGCCCTGACCGGAACCTGCAACCTTTGTGTGTGTGTGTGTGGGTGTGTGTGTATGGAATGATGCTTCAACCAATTGAGCCACTGGGCCAGGGCTGAACTACCATTAGATTTTGGGTAAGGTCCAGGGGGGGCAGGATTGATCATTCTTACTAAATGTTGCCGGCATCTGGCAGCGAGTGAGTGGCACATAGTAGATTCTCAGCTGGTTGTCTATAAATGAAAATGGATCACTACTGCCCAAGTTTGTAGGCAAACTCTTTTTGCCACTAAAAATATAAGAAATAAAATAAATAATTGTGTTTGTGTAAGACTTGTGTATAGAATAATATATGATTATAGAAAATTATGTAAGGCATATTTCCTATCTATTTTAGTATAATGAATTATTTCCCAAGAACTCTTAAAATCTTTTAAAAACTACCATAGTTTGAAAAACCACAGAAAACCTATGAGAAGAAAATATCCATGGTGACGCCATTATTCAAAGAGTTATTTCTCATAAAGACAGTGAATTTTACCAGATGCTACAGTTACAAGTTCATTTTCAGGGAGTAGTAATAACTATTATCTTTAGTTGGTAAAGCTCTTCTTATTGTCATCCTTGAGAGAGGATTTTCCTGATGTTGCTGCCAAATTCATCTGTTGAAGACATATCAATCTTGATGGAAAAGAAAACCTTAGAGAAAGAGCATGCTGATTATTTTTTATGTTAAAGATGGTAATATATGACTGTAGGAAAATGAAACAAATATCATTGCTAAGAGACTAGGGACTACATTTTTGCCCAGTATTTTAACATAATAATTGTTACTGATTCAGAATCCAGAGCACCGACTAATGGTAGTTTAGTTGTTGTAAAGGAAGATATAGAAGACAGGAGGAGAAATGAGGATTGGGTAGTCATAATCTTCAAATCTGTCTATCTGTCTAAAGACAGTGGTATAGAATAATTATTTTTATTGTCTGATGGCAATTACTTTAAATTGGTATTTTCTTAATATCATCAGTAAGAATGATCTTTTTCCTTCTTAGCAAATAGTACACCTACTTTGTTCTCATTGATAGGAAAAGAATAATACAAAATAAAATCTGTATTTAGATTGTATGTCAAGTGAATTTTCTTTATTTTGTAGTTATATAGTTTGTATATTTAATAAGGTATGAATAATGCAACTGAACTCATAACTGATATAATACAATGATCATAATTAGTTCATATATATTGAGATTTCACTGAGCATATGGCACTGTATTTCATAAAAACACTCTATAAATTGTTTCCTGATACTTTTGCTCTGCTTTATATTTGTTCCTTTTAACTTTAAATTGAACTTGCCAATGCCTTGAAATTCTGAAACTGCAAGAATGGCAGAGAAAAGGGCGAAGGAATTTTTTCCTCTTCTAATAACGTAAGAAATAAAGGTCAAATGTTATAACAGCTACAATACCAGCAATACCAACAACAACACCCTAGAGTGGCCTGCATTCCTGAAGCTGTGGGGACACTTGGGTGAGGGAGGTAGTAATAAACTTGTGAGTTCTTACTTGCCCTATTCACTTGAACTATATCACCAACACGAATCTTTGAGGCTTAGGAACCCAAGCAAAGCACTGTGGATTCTCTGTTGTTTGCGAGTTGGTACACTAACTAAAATATTCTATAGGTTTTTTTTTGTCATTGACCACTTACTTATTCTATAATAAGTAAGAGCTTTTACTGTTAAAGACTATTGAATGTCATGTTGATTTCAGCGGATGAAAAAGCACAAAGAGGAAGATAAGCTTTTCAAATCCATAATTTCAGCCTTTGTAAGACGATGATTTGAATAATTTAGAGAAAGCTTAAAGAACTGTGATTTTCTGTTCAAAGTATTTTTTTGTTTGCATTCTTTTGGGACAAATATTTTTCATACATTTTTATCTCTAATCTTGTTTTCCAGGCACTTTGGAAAGACATGAGACAGGAGAAAGAGCAAGAATTATTCTTAATTGTTGTGATGATTCACAGTTTCTAAAGCCTGAGTCAGTACTTTCAGTTGCCTCAGAGACACATAAGCACAAAAGTGTAGAGCAGAGACCCTCCAGCTCCTACCAGTTTGGGCCAATACCTTGCCCTGGTCTGCAGGTGGAGTCTTCATGTAAGGTAAGTTCAAGTCAAGCTGCTGCTTAATAGGACATCATCAACCCTGGCTAAGAACTAATATGCCTTCATAAATATGTGGTGAGTAAATATCAGTACAAAAACAAGAACTCATATGGTCTGCATCTACCAGACTTATCACCAAGTGATCTTGGGTTAATCGGGATATCTTTTTGAGTGATTATTTCTCTTGATGTAGCATTCTTTTTGATAAAATAGGTTGTAGCTTGTAAAAATTGAGCCAATTTTATATTAACCCTTGAACTCTAGGTGGATAGTTTTCCATTGATAAGAGGAAAGAAACCTACATTCTGTGGTCTAGGGTTTTTTGTTTGTTTGTTTGTTTAGTTGAGAGTATTTTGCCTCTTTTTATAATGCTAATTACAAATAAACCAAAAATATTTCAGAAAAACTGGATCATTGTGGGGACAATTATTTAGATGCACTCAGCATCACTAGGATCACCAGCTTTTTAGGTTTCCAATGTCTAGTTTAATGCCCAGAAGGTAAACTGGTTACTATTTCTCTCAGTTTCTTAAAGGACCTCAGAGCTACCATTTAGCTAGTGATAATAGTATATATAGATTTTATTTTCTTTAGATAATTTTTGAAGAGTGCACATAGTTTTGGGGAAAGGTTTTAAAGAGAACAACAACTACAATAAAACATTTTAAAAATGAGTCCAATGCTGGAAGAGTTGAGTTTGTGCAGCTACCCAAAGAAAAGTCTTCGGGGAAGGAGAGGGCCAAGGTCTCAGAGGCTGATTAAAGAAACACGATATATTAGTGATGGAGAACAGATTTTTCTCAGATTCTGCTGAGGATAAAACAAGATAGAAACTGTTTAAATTGCAGTGGGAGGAAATTAGCTTCAAAGTAAGAAATAAACAGTCTTACTAAAATCATCTCTACAAGGCAGAAATCTTGATAGCTTCATTATATTTTAAAGAGAGAAGGCCTGTTTTGTCTGTTGGCTGTTGATTTTAAATTCTTTATCTGCATTCTTTGTCTGTAAAATGACTAAAAGGAGCCCTAACCGGTTTGGCTCAGTGGATAGAGCGTCAGCCTGTGAACTCAAGGGTCCCAGGTTCGATTCCGGTCAAGGGCATGTACCTTGGTTGCGGGCACATCCCCAGTAGGGAGTGTGCAGGAGGCAGCTGATCGATGTTTCTCTCTTGTCGTTGTTTCTAATTCTCTATCCCTCTCCTTTCCTCTCTGTAAAAACATCAATCAAATATATTTTTAAAAAATGAGTAAAAGGAGAAACTGGATTATTTTAACTGCTACAATGTAGACCCATGGTACTGTCCTGGAAATGTTTGTTTAAAAAAACTGATTTTCTAGAGAATGGGTGCCCAAAGACTCCCCCTGTTGCTTATTTAGAGCTTCACTGTTTAATATGGTAGCCGTGAACCACGCATGGCTGCTGAGCACTTAAAATCTGCCTCGCACCACATGTTAAAATAAGATTTGGATATACAGGGTTCACCTACACAATAGCACCCTTCCTAGTGACAGAATAGAGAAGTACACAACACAATGGTGAAGAAATACACGAGGCAATTTGCTTTTTGAACACATGTGAAGTGATACAAATTTTTGACAGAGGATACCCATTTCTCAGAAGGATGTATTTTACATAGATATTTTAACTATCATGGAGTTAAATAAAAAATTTTGTAATCATACTATTTTTTTTTACATCTGCTGAATGAAGAATGTTCCTCTTCACACTTTGTGGTATGGGTTTAAATATATTTTTGGTACAAAGTTGCCTCAGTGTTGAGGAACACTCTGAAAAGCCTATCACAGCTTTGTTTCCGAACTAATTTAGGAGGTCTCAGCGTCACCAGGAAGAGTAGGAAACACACCATTCAGTGACTCCAGCTGTCCTTTTGCACACAGAAGCAACCTTGAATTTCCTCACAGGACTTCAAAGCCTGGCTTGTAGCGAAACATTCGTTGGACGTAAATCAGAGGCACAAAAGGAGAATGCTCGTATTTCATGGTGCGTGGCCGGCTGACGCCCTGCATTGTGCCGCACGTGCCGGTGGGAAGAGCCAGCAACAGAAGGGCACTGTTCTGACTCGTGTGACAAATGTAGTTAACACCAGATCCATATTAATGTTGTCAAGTTCCCTTGATGTATTTAAACAGATTTTAATTATTTTCATCGTCCAAAGGCCTGCAATATATAGCCTAATAGTTCTTCGAAGAAAGCTCACTTAATGTGGGAATGTAAAAACCTCTCATAAAAATGAAACTTTTATATTGGCCTTAGTCATTGACATAGGTTATTCATCAAGTCAGCAATTTGTGTGGCAAAGTGCCATTTGAATAGTGTATTGTTAGGATACTTATGGTCCACTTGACAAGGGCTCTTGCTGTAAATAGTGCAATTTGACTCCAGCTGTTAAAGAGTGGCTTTGACAGCAGCCCAATAGAAAGGAGATGCCTTCCTGCACCGCCGAAAATCAATATTGGGTTCTTGTTCCTAGTAACCTGTTCTTTACTCTTCTGTACATATATAAATGGCCATCAAGGGTTTAGAAGTGGAAGTTTAAATATTATTTTAAATGTAATTGACTTTGAGTTTCAAATGAAGGCTTGTGATAAAATGGTACAAGTGCAGAGTTTTAGGATATTATTTCCACCTCCTGGCTCGTGTTCAGCCACAATTACAGTCCAGTTGAATTTGGATTCTCCAGCTTCAGCAGAAAAGAATTAGCGTGAAGCACGGACTCAAAATCGTGTGCCTATTCTATACGGCCAGCGTACGTGTTCTTTTTGGTTCCTTTATTAATTTACCGTCTGCGTCCCTCCCATCTTCTCTGTGTGTATACCTTTTTGTAGAGATGGCGGGGTTCTTTGTGGCTGTGCCCATGGCAACACCCACAGATGTTGACAACCAGGAATGTCCTCAGTGTTGTCCAGGATTTCCCTAAAGCAGACTCTTGCTGGTTTTGAAGAGTTTCCTAGCAGTTTACAGCAATACAAGGTTGTTATGGTACCTGACTGTCAGTAATAGATTTTGAAGCTGTTAATTATAATAACTACATGCAAGGGTTCTTTTTTCTTTGGGTTTCTCCACTGTGTTAGCTGTTACATTTAAGACAGAGTGCAGGAAGTGAAAGTATATACTCAAGATGATAAAAAAAAATGTTTCAAGAGTTGCATTGAATAAAAAATATTCCAGGTATAAAATCCTTTTAGTTCACTGTTGATTTCCCAAGATTGTAGATATGACTTACTTAAATCATTTCTAGTTTTGACTGAATTTGATTTTGAATTTTATTGTTGTTTGCCTGAGATATCATAAATCTTTGTCTAAGGTGTGCTGAGCAAGATTTGAAAGAGCTGTCATTTTTAACATGGAAAATGCTGGTAAAATGTGAACTTTTTCAAAAGCCTTTTCCAGTGAAAGCTGTTAAAAGAGCCATCTTCCTATTAATTGCCAACTCTGAATTTATTGAATTTGTGGCTGATATTGCAACTGAAAATTCATAAAGCTGATAATAATAATTGTGTACGGAGACCTTTAAGGCTGATTTAGTGTTATTGTTTTTATAATTGCTGATAGGCCGTTGTGATTTCTACCAGAGAAAGGATTTGTTCTGCTTTGGTTTTAGCTGGTTTCAAAAAATGTTAGCTCTTCTGTTAACTCCAAAGTAAACCTCTTTACTAAATGAATGCTTATGTCATTTTTAGTACTAGATTTAAACTAGGTTTATCTCAGTTTCTCCTTCTAACCCCACAATATTCATTAATTCTTAAGAAACATGAGAATTTTAAGATTATAACTTTCTTTTTGAATTAAACATTCTGATTATAGTCATCAATTGACTTGTGGGCTGGGGATTCTAGTGTAGAAATATGAATAAAAGACACTATAATTTTGTAGTTAGTTTAACATAGGGACAACGTTGCATAATTTATTAAGCATATCTTTAAAATTGCATTAATAATTTTATGTAGATATTTTAAAACTATGAATTCTATAGTCATCCCAATCCTATATAACCTACCCATAACCGTTTACAGACATTCTCCTCCCTCGCTCCTTCTTTTTTCCCTACTTTTTATTCTTCTTACTTGTAAATTGTTTTTGCTTTTTAAAAACCTGTGATGTTTCTAAGTTGGTTAAGAACCAGCTATTTGTAGGACACAAAGATGAACCTATTCATCCCACTGAAAGGAGTTGGTAAAGGCTGGGATAGAAATTCACTTCAATGGACTTGAATATTCTGTTATTGAGCAACTTCATGGTTCTGATTAAAAGGTGATGTTAAATGTTACCCCTTTACAGAGACTTGGCATTTCCTTGGTAACCAAGTTGTTGTCCTGCATCAGTAATATCTTGTGTTTATATCCTATTTTTGATGACTACCACAGTGGCTGATACTGTCAGGTGTAAAAAAAAATGAAGTTTGTAGAAATTCGGATGTTGAGTTACCTAAAAGGGTTAGTGGCTTATACCAGGAAAGAAAAGAAGGAAAATAAAATCTTTCTTCTTGAAAGCTGGTAATCTCACTTATTGACTGAGAGGACCATCTGGACCCATTTAAAGGAACCCCAACAGGCACTCCTTCTGTTCCAATGACTTATGTTGAAGCTGGTCCTAAGAGAGCAGCAAATGCAAAAATGTAACAGGAAGCAATTCTCAGGGGAAAAAAAGGCATTTATTCTAATGAAATATTTTCCCTATGCTGGTAAAAACAAAATGTATTAAGACATTTGCTTTATTCATTGATACTAGGAGCATGAACTTATTGAAAAAGATATCCAACTAATATTCCCATCTGTTTTTCTGAATTGCATTGAATAGTGACATCCTGGAGGCACAGCCAGTTCCCTGAATTCCCAAATGGCATTCATAACATTAAATACAATTTATGAGTAAGTGACATTATTTGTAATTTTCTACATACTATTAAGCTTATGAAAATGGCTGCTTTAACCCTAAATTAAAATATCCTGCATAAGCTTGTAGTCTAAGTATGCTTA